GCAGGAGATCGCCACCTACCGCAGCCTGCTCGAGGGCCAGGATGCTCACTACAAGGACCTGGCCACCACCAGGGTCCTCTGAGTCCTGGGCTTCCTGCCCTCCTGCAGAGGCCCCGGTACCAAGGGGCGGGACCCTTAATCCCGTCTCTTCCCCCAGAACGTCCAATAAAGCTTGATGGCATGGCTGGCTTGTTATTTCAACCCCTGGGGTTGGGCCAGGCCTGGCTCTGTTGTAGGTTTGATTTGAACCAAAGTCCAGCCCGGCCCAGGAAAGGGAAGGGAGACCACACACATCTGTTAGTTATGTTCCTGCTTGCCAGTCTTCTTCATTCATCTAGCTCTTCATTTCTTGACTGCTCTGTGAACTGAGCATTGCTCCCGTTTTACCGCGGGGGCAAACAAAGCCCCGTGGAATGGGGATGCGATGCTTCGGACACGGGTGGGATTTGAAATGATGGGTTTGGCTTACAGATTCTGGTTCCTCACAGCCCACCTCTGCTGGCATCTCTCTCTGTGTTGATAAGCTTTTATTGACTATCAGCTAGCTGGCTGACACAGAATCTAATTCGCTGTCTGCGTCGAAGCCAACTAATTTTGTCCCTGTAGAACAGGGTAGAACTGGCTCCGTGAGTTTCTGAGACGAACTCTTTATGGGACTAGAAAGCCCTGCCTTCTTTTTTGCCCAGTGGATGGTCGTTTTGAACTGCTGACCTTATTGAGTATCAACGAGGTGTGGCATTTAATCGAAATAATCGTAATAGGCGGTTGGTATGATTTGCATCTTGTAGCTCAGGAAATGGACTCCGAGAGGCTAAGTAACAGTGTGTGCAAGGCGAAGAAGGCAGGACGCTTCCTGATTCTTTGCCCACTGGGCCACCCCCGTTCAGGTGGTCTCCTAGGACTGACACCACTTGTGCCGGATCCTCCCTTGGGTTCAGGGTGGCTGCCCAGGCCTGGGCTCCCCTGGGACCTTTTTATCTGACACATTACTCCAGTGTCTGAGTGACAGCAGACAGGATAGGCATGCTGGCTGTGCCAGCTGGCTGGAGAGAGTAAGGCCCCTCGTGTGTCAGCATGCGTGTGCTGACACATCCAGCCTCTCAGCACAGACCCTCCAAGCCCCTGACGCCCACCAGCCCATAGCTGGGCCCAGAGCCTGGAACAGGACCCAGCGGTGACCCCAACCTCCCACACAAACCTGGGCCAGCAGAGGCACAAGTCCCAGCTTCCTCGTACAACTCTGCCCTTGGGGGGCCTGGTCCTGCTTCTGTGGTTTACACCACAGCTGCCAGGAATTTGGGCCAATTAGAGGTAAATCAGGGGCACCCACAAAGGAGTCCTCTGCCCACTGGCTGAGCACCCCAGGCTGAGTGGGGGTCCTACCGTTCTGGGAGAGCAGTCTGGCCCTGTGAGGGAAGAGGCAAGCAAGGGGTACCAGTACTACTCCTGTTAGAAACCCACCCGCCCCCTGCCCCAAGATTGACCCACTGCTGTGTGTGCCCAGCTCGGAGCCCAGGAGGCCTGAGATCCTGTCGCCCAGCAGCTCCTAAGCCTGTGGGTCTGGGTGTTCAGTGGGTCGGTCGCGCTGAAGCTCACCGCTGGTGAGGGGCAGACAGGAAGCTGTGAGGCCAGAGCCCCTATCTTCCTCTCTCCCTGCTGCCGCCCTGGCCCTTCTCCGCCTCGCCTCCGACCGCCCCATTCTCCTGCCCTGCTCCCCAGAGCCAACAGACTCCTTGCTCACCCAAGTTCCCAGAAAGCCCTGGAGGTTGGAGGTCGGCCACAGCCCCAGGCTGGGATTGCCCAGAGGTATTTGTACCCATGCCTGTGAAAGCCTCCCTTGTCACAGTTGAAACCCTCCCCTGTGCCCCAGGGGCCTCTGGAATGTGGTTGTCACCTCCACAGGTGGGGCAGGTGACTGGGTGGCAGGTCTGAGTGTTAGGAATGAAGCCTTTCTTTGTGTGTGTGTGTGTGTGTGGTGAGCGCAGGGACATGTTTTTGTCAGGCTGGGAGCTGTGTCTGATGAGGAGAGGAAGCCGGGGTGCTCTGTTGATCAAAGCCTGGTCCTGACCAAAGAGG